TTCTTGTGTGTGTGTGTGTGTGTGTGTGTGTGTGTGTGTGTGTGTGTGTGTGTGTGTGTGTGTGTGTGTGTGTGTGTGCTTCCTACGCACATACTCATATTCGTTCGTGATCGCTTGACAACGCCAGGCTTGGATGCAATCGCTCGCTTGCATAACGCTTGCAAGTTTGCTCGCCTTCTAATCGCTCCAACTTGACAGAACTGGTACAACCACACCCACCAACAACTGGGTATAAGTTCCCAGTTTTATCAAACCGCTTATAGAATAATAAATCGCTTATAGAATAATATTCTTCTCTGCGGCCTTGCATCGTCATTGTCAGATGAATTACTGTCATATCATTTTTTGATCAGTTGACTTATTTAGCGAGCCGTTGTTGACTATTCAATAACTTTTTCTTTGTCTCTCTCTCTCTCTCTCTCTCTCTCTCTCTTCTCTTCTTTCTGATTTGAATTACAGTAATAGTTTGTTTTCATTTATTTAAATTTGCATTTAAATATCGAAATTATTAAACTGCACATAATATTTAAACTATATACTTTTATTTTGTTGATGATTGTTTGAAATTTTATTCAATGTTTAAAAAAACTATTGTCCACCGTTTGTCTTTTACAATTATGCTGTTGATATTATATTAAGATAATAAACTCTACATTTTAATGTAATGTTCCACTAAATGTCTTATAAAAAAATATGCAAATTTCAGTTGTCGCCTGAATACTTAGCTGTTTTGCGACAATTCACCGGAACTGAACCACAGGCGTTTGCTACAAATCAAAATAACGCACCCCAGCGTAGGCCTCTTCCACCTTACGCCAAACAACAACAGGCATTACAACAGGCATATTACAATTATCGCAAACCTGCCGTGGTGCCTCCCAGACCAAGACCACAGTTACATCCTCAAGCATTGGTTCAGGCCGAAGCTGTAGCGCAAGCTCAGTCGCATGTCGACGCACAGAATCGTGCCGTAGCATTGCAGTCGATACGCGGCCCATCCGGAGCTTCCACGTATCAAGTGGAATCTTATACTTCACCGAAATTGGGAACATTTGAGCAAGAATTGCTACAATTAGTATCTGCCAATCAGGCCCAAGAATTTAATTTGATTCCGACGCGCTCTAAAACCGGCTATCCGCAGCAAGGGTACATCAAATCATCAGCGGCACCTACGCCTCAATTGCCTGAACAATACCATATTGAGACTAGTCCGCCCCCTCGTTATCCACCACAACAGCGAGTGGCAGCAACGTATCAAACGATTGAACAACCAGTCCAGGGTCAATACCAAACACCGCAAGCAGATTATTCGGTAAAGGGAGTTCAACCTTTTAGACCGTCTCCACAATATGATTATGTAGACACTGGTGCCCAGCAAGCACAATCTCAGGCGGAAGCTGAAGCGAATGCGAGGGCTCAAGCTCAAGCCGAGGCGCAAGCTTTAGCTTTTCAAAAAATCGCCCAGGCGTCATATCAGAAACATCATGACGCCGCTATAGAACAGATCAGAATTGATCACGAGAGATACAGACAACAGAGTGCTTTAGAACAACTTCAACAAGGGCAAGCCGTTAGCGATGCCGGACGAGCTCACCGTGAAGGTCTACTGGAACCTAAAGATCCAGAAGCTGCATATAGAGCGAAATTAAAAGCGCAAATGGCTGCCGAAGCTGCCGAAGCCAGAAGAATTCAGACGGAAGCTGAATACAAGGCCCATGCCGATGCTATACGCCAAGTCGAAGCACAGCAGCAAGCTCAAGTAAAGGCTCAAGAGAAGGCTCATCATGATGCTTTAAACTTTGAAAGAAATCAGTTGCGTGCTCAAGCTCAAGCTCAGGCGCTGGCGCAGGCTCAGGCCGAGGCATTGTACAAAGTCTATCAGCAGTCACGTGCCAAAGCCAACAATGAGATTTTGGCAGCTGCCAGAGCCCAGACGGAGGCTAAAAAAGTAGATCCCGATGGTACACCAGTCATCCAGTATCTTCTTCCTAGTACTCCCAAATTGCCGCCACCTAATAGTTACTTTACTAATGATGACGTAAATAAATATCAGGCTTCCGGCTCCACCTTTGCTCCTAGATCTGTAGCTAAACCTGAATCAAGTGAGTCTCAAGAACAAGCTTATGTTCAACCTGTAATCAATCAACCTCGTCAAGTGCACAAACTCAAAGTTCCTCAGACTCAGTCCTCCATCTATGTTTCTCAATCGGGTCTCTTGAAAAAATCGCCGGTTAAGTCTCTCACCATCGAAGAGATTGTCGATCAAGGACAATTAAATAACCCTCAAGTTGTACGCATTCCCTCTGCTAAGGATCAGCAGCCTCTGACGCAGGAAGAATTGTCCACTTTAATTAATGCTGGTTACAGCGTCACTCCCATACCTCAGACAGTGAAGCCGACTCAACAAAGTTATGTACCGGAGAATACATCTGCTGTGTACTATTTGAAGAAACAGCGACCGACTGTTAGACCTGAATACGTTACGTACGAGGAAGTCTTACCGCAATCGCGAAGACCCATCAGAAAAAATACATCAGTCAAACAAGAAGACGCTAATGCTAGTGAAAAGATCACTTATTTAGTACCCTTAGAGCCCAGTTTTGGCACTAGACAATCATCACTCAGAAGTGATGAGTGATCGGTTTTGTCTTTATCGTTGTCGTTATTAAAAAATGAAAAATAGGAAATTTAGAGAAACCTAAACGTGATTGTATTCACCTAAATTTATTTGTTAGACATCAGATGGCATATTCTCTTTCTTTCTCGATTCAAATTTGTATAAATGATAATTCAAAAACCAGTCAAAAGACACTTTTAAATACAAATTCTTCTGATTTTTCCATTTTTCCTTAATTTTAATAATTTTATTTTTCTACTAATTAAACATAAATATATTCTATTTAACGATTCAACGATTATTTTTAATTTTTTTTATTATTTTGTGATTCTAATCATTTGCGTTTTAAATTTATCTTTCAGTATTAGTTCGAAAATTTGGTAAAAAAGATATTAGATTATTTTTTATTATTTCAATTTTGGGCGTTAACATTTTTCAAATAATATTAAATAGATTAAAATATTTTATACAAGTTATATTAATTATAAATAATTTGCATACATTATAAAGTCAAAAAAAAGAAACATTCATTTCGTAAAATAAACTTATAAATATATTATAACAGATTTTAGAAAATTTATTAGAACACATATATAGAAAATATAAATCTAAAAAAATATTTTCTTGATGTATATGACAACAAATGGAATGTAATTTATAATTACGAGGATTTTTCAATAAATCCACTTTGCGCGATATTATCTAAGAGATGGTAAGTGCGACGGTGCTAAGTCGAATGATTATTAATTTATACTTTTTTGTAAATATTAGAATTTTAACTAATAAAAACACTTTAAAATTTTGCTTTGTGATACGTGATACTCCTTTTCCCGCAATATTTCTTATACGTTCATTTATACATGTTTCTTCAAATTTTTATCAATTAAAAAGAAAATGAAATGTTATGCATTATGGAAATGCATATTTTCATAAAATTATATGTAATTAAAAATTTAATAAAAAATATATATTTTATATAAAAATTTTGCAATCAATTTTAATTGTTTTAATTATAATTTTAGTATCACAGTATAATTTTTTTTATTAATCTGCTAATACTAATGAAATTATTAGTCTCTATTTATAAGTAATTACCTTAAAATATAATTTTGAAAATTCACTTAAAAATGTTTCGTAAAAATACTCAGATGATTGTGCAAGTGTGTTTATGTTTGAGTGTAATAAATGTAATATGTCCTTCACCTTATTACATAATAATATTATTATGACAATCATAATATACAATACCATAAATATTTATAGAAAAGCAATCGTTTTATTATAAAAAAACATAAAAACTATTTTCAATTTTTTCGCTATTTCCAATTTTTCTGAAAAAAGTTTCACACATATACATAAAAAATATATA